GCCCGTATCCCATGTGGGTGCTGATTCTAGTCCTGGCTGCTCCTCTTCCGATCCAGCTCTCTGCTATGGTCTGGGAAAGCAGTAGAAGATGGCCCAAGTCCTGGGGCCTCTGCACCAGCGTGCGAGACCCAGAAGAAGCTCCTGGCTCCTGGCTTCAGATCGGCTTAGAGTCGCATTTTCATGAAAAGTGAAAATAAAAACTAGAAGGATAAAAGATTTCCTTGTCAATAATAGGGTTTAAACAACAAAATGTAAAATAAAAAAAAAATGATTTTCAAAAACCTTGACTCATACCTGTACAAATGGATAACAAATATTCATACAAGACCTAAGAATTTCATATTTGGGAAAACTAAGTAAAAAATATTTATGACTTTGAGTTGGGCAAATTTTTTTTAGATAAAAGAGAAATAGCATGATCTGTTTAAAAATAAATTTGACATTATCAAAATTAAAACATTTTATTCTTCAAAGATACTCTTAGAAAAATAAAAAAGACAAGTCAAGTTCTAGAAGAATGAATTTTCAAAAAACGTGTATGACAAAAAGTATGTCTAGTATATATAAAGACTTCTGAAAACTCATTCATAAAGAACAAAACTCACTAAAAATAGGTAAAGTACTGGAGTTGTCATATAAGCACATGCATAGATGCTTAGACATTGGGGAAATACAAAATTTTCAAACCATAATAAAATGCTACTTACTTGTGATAGAATTGATAAAATGAAATCTATTTAGCAACATTAATGTCCGGTAAGAATTTTTACACTGTACATTGCTCATGGAATGCAAAATTGTACAGAAATTTTAGAACAAAGTTTTACAAAGTTGAACATATGCCTACAATATAACCCACCTTCTCCAATGTTAGGAATTTTTGATAGAAAATGCAATTTGTACTCACCCTTGAACTTTGAGAATAAATACACAATGTGATTTTATACATAAACACTCAAATCTGGTATCTTAGCTCAGGTTGTTAGAAGGGAACATGGCTCAAACAACATTTACTTCTTACAGGTCTGGAAGTTGAGAATTCAAAGAGGAAAGCATCAGAAGATTCAGTGTGTGGAAAGGACCCTTGTCCTGAGAAAGAAGGAGCTCTGTGGGTCCCCTTGAGAACTCACTAATCTCATTCTCACCACCTACTCACAGCCTGAAGCTCCCTTCCTAGTACCATCACATTATGCAGGCAGGATTTCAGCGTTTTATGGGACACAACCACTCTGTCCACTATACTCATAACAGCTCAAATGCCTTTTCACTTGAGAATAGGTAAGGGCAATGATCACTTCCCTATAAAGAAACACTGCAGAAATAAGAGGAATGAATTACTGCTACAGACTACCACATGGAAGTACCTCAAATGCATTGCTCTAAGTGAACAGGAACAGATCAAGCATCTACACTTTGCATATCTGCATGCATGAGACGCTTTAGAAAAGCCAAAATTATAGAAAATAGGAAGTAGATAAGATGTGAGATAAAAGTTGATAATAGCTTGAATATTTTGATATTTTGGATAGTTTGAATATAAGGGTCATGACAGAATTTGGTGGTTGATGACTCTGTTTTATTTTAAGATGCTTTTATTTATTTTAAAGGAAGAGTTACAGAGTGAGAAGAGAAGACAGAGAGAGAGAGAGAGATCTTCTATTTCCTGGTTCATTACTCAAATGGCTACAATGGCCAGTGCTGGGCAATGCAGAAACCAGGAGCCCAAAGATTCATCTGGGTCTCCCACATGGGTGGCAGGGGCCCAAATACTTAGGCAACCTTCTGCTGCTTTTCCTAAGCCATTAGCAGGGAGTGGGATCAGAAGTAGAGCAGCCAGGACAAGAACTGGCAGTGCCCATATGGGACACCAGTGTTACAGGTGGCTGCTTTACCCACCACGGCACAATGCTAGCCCCAGTCAATCTGTTTCATATATTAATTATTATACAACTACATATGATTTTTTAAATTCTTAGCCTCATATTTTAGAAATGCTAATTTATTGAAGTATTAGAGGTCTTCAAAATGCTATGAAAAAATACATGGATTTCACATATGTTTCTCCACAATAAATGTATCTTTTTAATTCCACAACACTTAAAAAATCTATTTATTGATTTTTATTGTAAGAACACAGAGAACTTGAGAATTTCCCATCCACCAGTTCATTCTCAAATGCCTGTAACAGCCAGTGCTGGGCCAGTCCAAATCCAGGACACTGGAACCTATCCATGTCTCCCATGTAGGTGGCACGGGCCCAGGTAATAGAGCCACCATCTGGTGCTTTCCAGGATGTATGTTAGCAAGCAGCTGGGTAAGAAGCAGAGCAGCCAGGGAATCTGATGCAGGATGCAAATGTTCGAAGCAGCAATTTAACCACTGTGCCCAATGGATGCTCCTCCACAAACTTTTTGAAGTAACCTCATACATGACAATAACAAGGCATCAAAATGGACACACACACAAAGTATATTTGATAGAAGCAGCACTTGGGAAGCTCTAGACACATTCTGAGAACATGTCTGGATGATGGGCCTTAGACACTTTCTGTAAGTGAACTTGCATGACATGACAGGACTTTGTTGGAGATGGTGCAATGTAGTAAGTGCAGAGAGTAGCCATATGAGAATTCAAATCCTAGTTCCACTACTTACAATGTGACCTCAGAGAAAGCTGATTTTTCCCTTTTTTCTGTTTCCTCAAATATAGCATGGAACCAATTACAGTAGAATCTTCTATATAAGACTGTTTTTAGTGTTAAATTGAGTTTGTTTTTTTTTAAAATATGTTACACAGTGTCAAGTGCATTGCTATTTGTCAAAATGCAGCCAGGGCGCAGTTCCTATCCCTGCACCATGAATTTTGCAGACAAGCTGCCATTCTGTGTTCAGCTTTAATATTTCCACACATAGAATAGTTGCTCCTGAATTCACTGTCAATTGAACACAGCAAGGATAGCTATGTGAGCTGATGGCTGTGTCAATTAACTTGACTGTAGCAATCACGTATCAAATCATGTTGCACACCTTAAATATATCTAATTTTATTTGTCAATTATAACTCAATAAAACTAGGTGGTGGGGGTGGGGGAGAACAGGGCTGGAGGATACAAAATTACAGTTACTGACTGCCCTGGACATTTACCCATGAGCTCCATGAAGGTTTTTTATTTTTATTATTTTTTTTGACAGGCAGAGTGGACAGTGAGAGAGAGAAAAAGAGAGAAAGGTCTTCCATGAAGGTTTAATACTTTGATTGTAGCATGCTGGGCTTGGATCAGGACATAACTTGCTGAAATCTTTGGACAGAGGGAGTGGGCCTCTGTTGCATACATCACAATTAATGAAGGCTTTAGGTAGTATGAAAGTTGATTAACTGCATGCAATTTAAAACTAACCAATCAAAGGCCAAATATTGATTTTCCCTACCTATGTTGCTTTAGGCAAGTTACTTAATCTCCCTAGCCAGTTCCCTACCTGTATCAACATCTCATCTCCCACGTGTGGTTAATATGTACCATACAGTATCACCATAAAGAACTTTCAAAGAGTTCATGGGAAATGGAATTAAAAGATAAGTTTATTTTAGTGTAAAATATTTGGTATCCATGCATTTTTTTCATAATATTAATTTTCCAAGAAGGTTTGGAGATACCTTATAAATGCAACATAAATACAGCTAAAACAGTTTTTTTTAAATGTCAAAAGCCTCATGCATTTCACAAGTGTTTGTAAATTTTGTATATGACATTGCTTAGTATATGAGAGGTAAACTAATATTATGGCCTGTTTGAATCTTTGTAGTCCTTATTAATGTGAGCTACTTGTCAATGATATGTTCCCATCTGCTTATCCATATGAAATTATTCATTTTCTCTCAGTTAAAGCATACCTTCTTTCTCTGTAATTTGTTTGTACATAACAAAGATTAATTAATGCTAATTTAATCTACATTTATAAATACACTTATACATTTATAGTGGTGGGCTAAGCCACCATTTGAGGCATCTCCCTCCATTGGAGTGACTTGTTTCAGTCTCAAGTCTTCTACTTCAATCCAGCTTCCTACTGTTCTGCATCCTGAGAGATAGCAGATGACAGGAGACTTATATTTGAGTCTCTGTCCCCCAGCATGAGATACCTAATGAACTCCTGCTCTTTGCTTCAGCCTGGTCCAGCCCTGGCTTTGGCAGACATTTGTGGAGTGAATCAGTGAATCAAAAATCTAACCCTAGGGGCCGGCGCTGAGTGAGCCAGCAGCTGGATGACCTCTCTTTCTCTCTGCCTCTGCCTCTCTGTAACTTTGTCTTTCAAATAAATAAATAAAACCTTTAAAAAAAAACAAGATCTAAATTCTCTCTCTCTCTCTTTCAAATAAATAAATAAACATTTAAAAATGTGTAGTGCTAATAAACATATATTTGTGAGGTACTTTTGTAATTTCCTAAATTTCACTGTTTAAACTCAGAGACACTGAGAGATTTCTTGAACATCAATAACAGACCCAAAGAAATCTTTAATAAACAAAATGTTCTAGCAATGACTTAGATGTTTTGCTATGGATCTTCAAATTTGGCTCATTATGATAAATATTTGAGTAAAAAATACACAGAAACATACATATTTGTTTCTGGAAGCAGAATCAAGAATTAGCTAAGTAGATGGATTGCAGTAATTATAACAAATGAAAAGTAAGTAGAAAAGAAACCACATTCTGTAACCCAGAGGTGTCATGATTCTTCCAAGATGCATTCACTTAAAATTTTGTTTATTGAGCAAACTTGTCATTAAAATTGCCACTAAGAATTTATGAAATAGTGAAATCCAAATCACAATACTGTTTCTATGTTGGGATAAATGTCTTCCTGTCATTGAAGAACTTGAATAAATTTTGTGAGTCTATCCTGAAACAGGAGGCACATAGGGATTTTTTGCTCAAAATCAATAATATATTTTGATCAAATTGCACTAATGCCTTTGAATAATGTGTGTATCCTTGACTATAAATCTAATAGTAGCACTTCTATTCCTCTGTTTTAGTGATATTGCCTGTTTGTTTGCAATAGATATTTTTAAGGATTTATTTATTTGTTTATTTGAGAGGCAGAGTTACAAACAGAAAAAGGGAGAGACAGAGAGAGAGGTCTTCCATCCGCTAGTTCACTTTCCAAATGGCCCCAGTGGCCAGAGCTGAGCTGATCTGAAGCCAGGAACCAGAAGCTTCTTTTAGATCTCCCACGTGGATGCAGCAGCCCAAATATTTAGCTCATCTTCCACTGCTTTCCCAGGCCATTAGCAGAGACAGGACTCCAACTGGTACCCATATGGGATGCCGGCACCTTAGACAGATGCTCAACCTACTGCTCCACAGCACCAGCTCCATCATAAGATATTTTAATTAGCTCAAATTACATATGCTAAAAGACACAACAGTATTGTCCTAGTGATTATAAACTACTATAAAATTCATGATTTACTAAGTGTTGAAATAATGTTACTGTTTACACTGAAGGGAGAACTAGTGAGCTATAAGAATAGGAGGGGATCTGGTTGCATAGACAGCCTGTGATTCACACCATAGAAAGATTTCCTTCAAACAGAATACTGGGGGTTACTATGGATAGTAAATTATATGAAGGTGCAGGTATTTCATGAGCTGTCACAACACCTGTTTCACACTTGGTATTCTCGCATATCTCTGTAAGACAGTCTCGTTTAGAATTGATCACAGGGACTGACACTGTGGTGTGGCAGGTAAAACTGCTGTCTGTGGTGCTAGCATCCCATATGGGCACCAGTTCAAGTCCCAGATGCTCCACTTCCGATCCAGTTCTCTGATATGGTCTAGTAGGGCAGTGGAGGATGGTGCAGGTCCTTGGGCCTCTGCATCCACGTGGGAGACCAGAAAGAAGCTCTAGGCTCCTGGCTTCGGATTGGCGCAGCTCCAGCCATTGCAGCCCTCTGGGCAGTAAACTGGCAAATGGAAGACCTCTCCTTCTGCCTCTGAATTTCTGTAAGTCTGCTTTTCAAATAAATAAATAAATCTTTAAATAAAAAAGAATTGATCATAATACACCTAGTCTTCTCTTAGTGTTTTTTGATAGGAAACCTCTGGTGGAAATTTCTGTGTATAAAGCTATACCATCTCTGGACTCTTGGAACATTTTTTTTCCTACGCTTTTCTCTGACTTTAATATTCTATAGATAAACAACACAAAATTAGCAAGCAATCAAATTTTCCTTTCATTTTTTAGGCAATTTAAAAGAATACTGTCTTACTATCATTTCATGTTCTTGTAAGAAAGCATTTTATTCTTACAATTGGCATTTTTGAAAAGTAGACCTAGGAGTTATCTTCTTATATCCCAGCACTTATCGGATGCTGTGTGTTATTTGGACATATAAGTGAAAATGCGTAGTGTGGCATTTATATAACCTTAGGAAGAATTTGTCACTTTAGTGAGCACAATCTAGTATGCCACATACTAACAGTGCTATCTGCTTTATAAAAGAAAACATGTTTAGATTGTCTTATGCAATTTCAGGTTTTCCAGTACATTGTCATTATCAGATACAAGAGGTTTGAATTGGAAGTATTTTTATTCAGCCAAATAGAATCCAACTAAATGCAGATGTTTTATACTCCATAAAGTAATTTACAAAATCACTTAGCAAACGCATTTTCATCAATGTGACAATTCAAGCCATTTCATGGCAGTTGCATTTACCATTCAATTCCCATAAAAACAGTCTACAAAACCACAAATCATTGGTCCTCTAAGGAGTACCTGAAGATGTCAATATTTCACTCAATATGCTCTGTGGATGCTGGACTGCAGGAAGCCAGGGACCCCTGTACTTCAAAGTCTTTGCACATAATAGGATTGTGATTATGTGTGACTATTTTATTGGTGGTGGAAGAGAAAAATTGTGAGGGCCAAAGAAAGATGGAAGTCCACAAGTCTATAAGAAATAAGCAGATAAATAATTAAAATACTGCATCTGTAGACCCATCCTTTCAATAAACATCTTCTGCTATACTTTACTCTTCCTATGAAATGCCAACAGAATCTTCTATATTTCACCACTCAAAAGTACAGTGTTCAGGCTGGCGCCATGGTGCAGTAGGTTAATCCTTCGCCTGCGGTGCCAGCATCCCTTATGGGTGCCAGTTCTAGTCCCTGCTGCTCGTCTTCCAATCCAGCTCTCTGATACATCCTGGGAAAGCTGTAGAAGATGGCCCAAGTGCTTGGGCCCCTGCACCCCATGGGAAACCCGGAAGAAGCTCCTGGTTCCTGGCTTCAGATTGGCACAGCTCCAGCTGTTGCAGAGTGAACCAGCAGATGGAAGACCTTTTTGTCTTCTTCTCACTGTCTGTACTTTAATTCTCAAATAAATAAATAAAATCTTTTTTTATATAAAAAAAAAAGTGCACTGTTCTTTCCAGCACTTTGTATCACTTCATCCTATAAATTACAATTTGCCTGTATTACAAGACTGTAAGACTCTGAGGGTGATCTCAGTGGAAGATATCCCCACAGGGAACTTATTCTCTTAATGACCAATCACATATTCATAAAAATAAAAGCTAAATTAGACAACCATAACCATATTTATGGAGTAACCACTGCTTATAGAATATGATGCTAAGAGAATTGCTATTTTGAAGTGTTTATTATAGAACTGTAAATTGACTGTAGGCAGTTATAAATTATTTTTTTGCCTAGTAATAGGTTATTAAAATACTATTTAAACCCAACTCAGCACATGGTATTCTATTGGCAAGAAATTACTGTTGTGCTTTCACAAAGTGATTACACAGCTCCTGATAATCATCCCTGGAAAATCACATTTCTTTAAAAATTATTTTATTTATTTATTTGAGAAACACAGGGAGAGAGCAGCAGCAGAAGTGACTCAATGCATCCCCTGGCTCACTCCATGCATTCCCAAGGGATTGAAGCTGGGAGCTGAAAATTCAACCCAGATCTCCCACGTGGGTAGCAGGAACCCAACTACTTGAATCATCACAACTGCCTCCCTGGGTATACATCAGTAGAAAGCTAGAATCAAGAGCCAAGGCTGGGAATCAGACCCAGTCACTCTGACATACAGCATAGACATCCTAAATTGGATCTTAAATGCTGGCCAAACACCCACCCAGGATTTCTGTTTATGATGACTTATTGTGTTATATATGATTCTGAGGATTTGAGAAAATTACTTTTTCTACCTAAAAGCTAGTCTGTTAGCTACAATCACCCAAGCACCATACTATACAGCCTATACATCTTTTTTCTCTCTGTAGCTATTTCTTTTAGATTTGATTTTCCATAAGCTATTATGTAGAACTGCGTTTAAGTAAAAGTGTAAGCCTGTCACAAATCTGCACCATGTGCTCTACACGGGATTTCTGAAAATTTCCTCATGAAAACACTTAGTTTAACCTGTGATTATAGCAAGAGAAGTTACCTTTCATCTCTAGTGGGTAAATTATTTGAAGATGATGAGTCATATAATAGTTGTCAATTGCCCAAAGCATCTCCATTATGGGAAACTACTCCAGTACTGTCATTTCATTTGCAAAATATGAAAATGATCTTCTGTGGCTTCTCTATGAAATACCTAAAAGAAGAAAATATGGATGATCAGTAGATAGAAAACTTAAAAGGTTGAATACATAATATTCATACTGAATTTCCCAAGAGTGCCTCCATTTGAAACCATCTGTTAATAGTAAACTGCAACATTCAAACATTTAGTTCCTGGAAATAAAACACTTTAAAAAATATGCTGTCTCCTCATTTAATAAACTACAAATTTTAGAAAACAACAAAATAACATGGTATAGAGAGAGGAAGACACTAATAGTGGTAGAACACAAACCTGATTCAGGACTTCATAGGACTATTTAGAGACTTGATAAATTTTCCCACTTACCCCACACCCTCACCTGTAGTAGGAAGGTATTAAATAGACATGATCAAATGAAAGAGAAACAAAGTGGAGATAAATGAACAGAGCATCTGCACATAAATTCCACTGAAAATCTAGGAATAAAAATGAAAAACATTTCCATCGATATTCTAGAGCAACATTATACCTTCTAGAGACATTTCAGTTGTTTATAATTAACATTTGCTTGTATGCTTATATAGACATAAATTTTTCTCATTATTACTGTATTTTTTTGCCTTGTTAACTCTTGGGACATTATGTGTACTAAAGTAGTTAAGGGGAGAGTAAAAAAAGATTCCAAAATTAAAGTTCATTAACTTAATGAAATAAGAGCTCTGGCAATGGTAAAATATTAAAGAATGAATGATTTGCAAATTTGAGAGGTACCTGTTATGCTACATGAGACAGTGTTAGCCCAGCTGGAAGGTGTTAAAGTAGTTGTACTGTTCCATAAGCATGATTTTCCTATGCAACTTTTTTATATAATTCAGAAAAGAATTAGAGTATTTTCCAGTAAGTTTTAATATTGGGTAGGAGCTTTATTCAAATATGACATTGTACTGATATTGGCTGTTAGGCACATGAGCTTTCTGTCCACTACATATGTTCAAACAAATCTCTTGTTAACACTAAGAGTACATGAATAAACACATGAGTGAGACAGTTTAGATTGCTTCTTAATATATGGTAAAGAGCCCATATGGTTATTAAAATCTGATGGTTAGATAAATCTATTTGCATAGTATTGAAAGGAATCTGGAAAATAGGTATATTCTGCAAAATAAAATGGGATATTTTTATTTTGGCAGGGGAGAGAAAGAGAACAAATGCATAACATTAAATATTTGTGGAACATTTAAATTAAATTATATTTTTTCAAATAGCTTATGATGCATTGAAATAGACGGATTTTCATTCTATCTAACAAATGTAACACTCTTCTGGCAAAAAAATAAACAAAATCAAATATTAGGGGGATTGTTTTCATTTTTGTTTTTGCTTTCTTTTAGTGAGATGTTCAAAGTGCATTCACAGTGAAGTGCTTTTGTGAAAAAATTCCTGTTCTTAAATAAACGTTTAAAAATAAGTTATACTTTGATGTCTTTCAAGATGATAAAATAAAGTTTCCTGTTCTTTCTATAATTATAAGGTATGTTATACCAAAGTGGCAGACAATTCTACAAGTGTTGGTGAGTTAAAACATAAATAAATACTTTGAACCTGCACTACCTACCCTTCCCAGATCATTGGGAAGGATCCATCGTAGTCACTCAGTAACCTGAGCTGATAGAGTTTTCATATTGGCACATCCTTACATGATTTCTAAGGCATGGAAGTAAAACATCATGAGTGTTGTTTTGGTGTTTACCATGGCAGTCTCCTGTCCAAAGCAAGTCAAATAGGAGCACTTAATTTGATGGGAGCCCGTGACTGAAACCTTTTATAATACTCAGATATAGACAGAACCACATCTTGGTGTTATGTTTGGTGAATTGTATGAATTATTTATATATTCTAAAGTATGGGAGATGTATTTTTATTGAACTTTGAAATAACATATAAAGCTACAAGCCAAACCAAAAGCCTGAATTTCAGTGGGATGGGATTTTAATGTGGATTGGAGAAAGCCTGTGAAAATCAGTTTCAAATGTCAGTAAAGGAAACCTCTTTTTCCCTCCCATTGAACAAGAAATAATGTCTAAGTAACTGTGTCCAAGTAGTCTCATGTGTACTTAGTGGTTTCAAGCATTTGCAATATTATATTTTTAGATCATTAGAATGTGGCTTAGTTTGAATGTTGAGCAGGAAGAAAGTGTTTGTATTGGAGAAATCAAATTTTCAATGTTGATATATAACTAAGTCAATGTTTCATTTTATTTTAAATCCCCACTAACTTTTATTTCTCTTCATTGTCTCTAAATCAGGAATCTCCAGATTTGTTCGCAGTGACTTATTTTAAAGTCTGTCTCATATATTCCTATTAAACCAAGGTGACATTTTCAGTAGCGCCCTCTGGACTGTTTAGTTTTCTTTCGTGACCCTTCTTTCAACCATACTTGTTTAATCCAGGTTTCATTTTAGTCATGTCCATAAAGACATTATAAGCAATATTTTCTCTTCTCATTCTGGTTCTCTTGTTAACAGTTCTATCTGCCTCACACAAATATCTTACTTGTCATCTATTAAATGCTTTTGATGTTGCCCATCACTGCCATCATTCTATTTCTTTATTCTTCTCTTCTAATTTGCACCTTGACTTCTGATGTTTGTATTAATAGAAAACTTCTTTAGTAGAAAACATAACTTGAATTTTCTCCATTGTGTTGCTTCCTACATAGAGAAATTGTGTGTTGCACTCTATGGAAGAATTGTTTTCCCAATATTACCATTATGGAATTATTACCTAGATGATAACAAAAGCACCATGATAGATTACTTATTAGTTCCTCCCATTAAAAATATCCCTACTGTTCAATACAGGCAAAATGGTACGGCAGGTTAAACCATAGCCTTTGATACCTACATCCCATATAACTGCCTTTTCAAGTCCCAGTTGCTCTGCTTCTGATCTAGCTCCCTGCTAATGCACCTGGGAAAGCAGTGAAAGATGGACCAACTTCTTGGGTCCCTGTACCCATGCAAAAGACCTATATGGAGTTCCAGGCTCTTGGCTTCATCCTGGCTTAGCCCCATTCATTAATGCCATTTCAGCGAATGAACCAGTGAACGGAAGATCTCTTTTTCTCCCTCTTTTCTGAAACTCTGCCTTTTAAATAGTAAGTCTTAAAAAAATAAAAATAAATAATAATCCTTTGCTCATATCATACAAAGAGCTAGGCAACAATACAAAAGTATGTCATTGGGTTGCTGAAATTGGGATAATTAGTTTTTCTGTATTACTCTTTATGGTTGCTGGTACACAAAAGGAATGAGGGATCCCTGACAGAACCTCAGCTGGAAAGGTTTTGAATGAGTTTCGATAGAAAGATTAAGATTTGGTAACACCTAACTATACATTCAAGGTATTTGGAAATGTATTTCTTCTTCCAAAGGTAATTCAACAGAGGAAGGAGGTACCTAAAGGAAGCACTCCCGATAATCATGGTTCTCTTGTATCATCTGGGTATGAGTGAAGGATATTCCTATCAAATAACTGTATAATTTGTTATTGGGAAAATAATATCAGGGAAAGCTAAAAAAGATGTTAAGTTGATCTTTCTATGGAAAAACAGAAAGCAGAGGGTTACATGGATCATATAGAGAACTGGAGAGGGACTCCTTGACCAACACAGCCAACTCTTCCCATTGTGTATGGGAAGTAAATGAAACTTCAAATTTTAAACATGTAGATATTTAATACCTTATTGTACTAGTTTTCTGGGGCTAACATAACTAAACGCCACATAATGATTTAAACAATGAATATGTGTTAGCTCATGGTCATGGAGACTACAGGTTTAAGATGAACCTGCATCAGTGTTGGGCCCTTCTGAATTTGTTCCCAGGACCTCCCCTCCTTTGCTGGTAGTTTGCTGTCATGGTTGAAGTTCTATGGCTTCTGCTGCATCACTGCATCTTTGCTTTATTCTTCACGTATCCATGTCCAAACTGACCCTTTTGATGAGGACCCCCGTCCTGTTATGGGCCCTAGGCCAGTGTGGCCTCATCTTAGCTAATTAGATCTGCAGTGCTTCTATTCCCAAATATGGTCACACTCCGTGGTACTGAGAGTTATAACTTCAAGCGAGTTTTGATGTCACAATTCTACCCATAAACTAGTCAATGACACTACTTCTATTTTAGATACCAACTTAAATCAAGATTTAGCCTTGTTTCAAAATCAAAGTATTATTAGAATGTCATAGTAAACTTTCAAAATTACCTATCCTTAATGCCCTAGAAACTCTTGTTTAATTGATTTTCAATGTAAATTTTGTGTTTACATTCTTTTAAAACTCACAAGATTATTCTTAAACGCGGAAAAAATTTAGGATAAAGCAATCAAGAGATTTGCTTGATTAAATCCTTTAATACCAAATCATCTAATAGATTAGAATGAACAACTTGTTGCCTCAAATCCAATGCTATTTTCCAAAGTTTGGAAGCTTTCATTTAATCTGCATCATATTTTCTATTGAAAGCCACTATTGCATCTGGTATAAATTGAATTTTAAATTCCTTTCGCTTTTAATCTTCCTGCAAATTCTATTGACTTTATTGCTTTATCTCATTGACTTTCATTTTACTGTTTTTGTGCAAGAGTGTTATTCAAGAGATTCAGTGGCTGATAGAACGAAGACTCATCCTTCAGAATAGAAACCAGACTAATTAGAAGAGAAATGGCTGCAGTGGCATGTGCTGACTGAATGACAAGCTTGTGAATGCATTTGTTCTACCTGAGACTGACTTAGGTTTCTCTAATTACCCATTCATTGATTTGTGAGGGAAAATGTCACTGCTGAGCCCCCCAACCCAGCATGATAACATTTGATAGTTTCCTAAATCATACAGCATGATTCTAAAGAAATTATATTTTCAAAAAAATCATGCTTGCATAATTGAATATTGTAGGGAAATCCAATTATGAAAAGAGAAGTTTTGGTCAAAATAGACAATTTTTAAATGGATGAAGCAGACCCTCACCTCTCACAAAACTCCATTATAAA